AGACCTTGGCATACATGGGAGCTAAATTTGAGTTTGTGAGGTATCTGCACAGACAGAAAACGTCCTTCTGAAATTTTAACCTCACAGCTCTTCCTAAGATAATGAAGTTCCGCATCAAAACATTCGCGGGTCCGCATCAGAGACCCAGGCTTACATAAAAGCTAGATTTGGTTCTGCGAGGTCGCATACTCCCAAAATTTCAGCTTTCTGCCTTTTGTGGCTTCCGAGGTAGTAATTCTTTCCGCGGAAACTCTCATGAGGAAGTATTTGTGCGCAGGCATGACTGAATACCAGTTTTGAATCTACGTGCGGGCAAGAAACATTCTCGCTAAATTCCATTTTCCTAGCTTTCGTGGTTCTTCGGAAAATAATTTCCCGCCAAACTTTCACGAAGCTATAAATGAAGCCCAAGCGTACGAGAAAGTCGAAATTAAATTTTCTAGGTCGCAAGTCGGCGGAGGACATTCCCATAAAATTTCAGCTTCCTGACTTCCGTGTTAATAATTTTCCGTGCTAAAACTTTTACGGGGGCGTCCGTATTACCTGCGGGCATAGCAACACTGATTTTAAACTTGTAGGATTGCACGCAGGTAGGGAATACTCTTTCAGAATCTGAGCTGCCTAGCTTTTGTGGTTCCGGAGTTGAAAGTCCGGGAAAAATGTGCTCGCACAGACACACACATAGGCGTTTCGTGCAATTGCTACACAGAACAAAAAGCATAAAAACATGCCCGTACATAAATTGCAAACGCACGTGAAAGTTGATATCAAGTTTTCTCGGTTGCGCTTGGCCAGGGAGCGCGCTGGCGAAACTTCAGTACCTATTCTTGCTTACTTTTTAAGTTTAAATACCCAGATAGACGGAAACCCACAGGCACACAAAATAGACATAAACACGCAGTGAGCTGTTACAATATGCGATTTTCCTGACCGTTGCAGCCAAACTGCTTCGCTTAATTGGGTTTATCGTCTTTTCTGTCTTGCTAAGAATAGCCTCCAAACTGCATTTCCATTTTTCAGCTAATAAACTTCGACGATCTCTGCACATAGCTGTTGCGTTTATCCTAAAATTTTGCAGCCAACGCTCGCATGTCAGGAAAGTCAGTGCAATGCTTTAAATACTTAGGGATTCCCGGAAATCCTTCTCTTCTTTCGTCCACTCGGCGTACAACAAAAAGCTGCACAGACACGGGGGCTCTTTTTATTGCCATAGCTGCATTGAACAGTGGATGCTGCGTGTGCTGATATGCATTAAGAAATTTCATGCAATTTCTCCGAAAAAAGAAGATGTAAGCAAAATTTACAAAAGTTTATATAAAAGAGGCTTGCTTTAGGTGACAAATACAGTGATTTAGGAATGATCGCGCTGAGTTGTTGGAGAATTGTGCTTGAACTAACTGTGGTTGCTGGACTCCTTGGTAATGCCTTCTGATATTTGCTTTTTCGGCAGGATGTGCTAAAAGCAATTCTTGGCTTCCAGGAACGGCACTCCTACCATTCCTTTAAAATGTTAAGGTGTTTTTTGTCGTCCGATCTTGTTCAAAAATTCTGAGTCCTCTTTTCCCATATTAAGCTTGAGTTTCAAATTATTCTTCATTATCGCCGAGGCAACAGGGCATTAAAAGTGTGCAGATGCAAAGCAGAATCACTGGTGAGAGCTTTTTATTGATAGCATTGGTTTCGTTTCTACTGGTAGTGTGTATGCCACCTATTCTTTACCTGCATCCACAGCATCTGCGACCTCACGCATTCTGGGAGCGAATCTGGTCTAATACAAATTGCGCCTCTTGACACAGGTCAAAATATTGTGGGCTACTGAAATAATGTATGGGCTGTCCAGCACATTTACTAGGCAATTCTCAAACTCAAAGACTGAGAATTCCCAGCTTTTCCAGCTCAAAACCATGGATTGTTCCCACGACAAGCCAAAACCAAGAAATTGTCAAACATCATACTCAGCGTGTTTTGATATCTTAGAGCAACGCCTCCCCCTTTACCTTCAGGTTTTATTACATACTGCCTCATGTCGATATAGTATAAAGTTTAAAGGCAATTTCACGCTACAAAAGTTTCATTGCGTGATGAGTTAAAAGCCTCAAAATTCCAAGCTTGCAGCCTTGTTGGTAGCAACTTATCGAATTTAAGTTGGAAGATTATATGTTCCCG